TAGTTAGGTTCATAATTAAAATTTAAAATCACATATATGTATTATGTAGAAACCACACTTAAATCCATATATGTCTAAAGGGGTATTTGGTAAGATGTATTAAGCACTAATTAATAAAAATGAAAATAAAAGAAATTGTTTGGTTTTTTATAATATAATGGGATTATTCCTTCAGAAGCCCAAATTTTTATTCTAGGTTAAACCGATGGAAATGAAAATCCGTTCTCGTTTTCATTCTCTGTCACTTTCATTTTCATGCTCATTTTCATTCATCTGTCTGAACCAAACGCCCCCTAAACCTTTTAAAAATTCACAAAATTATTCTTTATGTTAGTATTAATTTTCTTAAATTCAAAAATTCCATCAAGAAAAAACTTGTTAAATCTAAGAATAATATATTACTAATATGAATTGAAGTGTGTGGCATGCAATTTATATTCATGTACCCAAGAATACATGATCAATTTCATGAATAAGCATCTCTATTTATTGCATCGTGATCCCCATTTCTTGATGAATATTGATTTTTCATATTTAAAATAAATAAAGATTAATTAGATCAAAAACGTAAAAATGTTATGAATCTAGGTAAGATATTTTTAAAATATTTTGTACGTTATATTTTTCATCAAATGTTAAGATTTTAAGGTATTATTTCACATATATTCGTTTTATAATGTAACAGTTTTACATGTATTTGTTTTACAATTTGGAATTTTATTTTCATGTTTTTTGTTTCATTATGTGAACCAAAAAAAGTATAAGACATATTTTTCCATAATGTAAACACAAACATATTTTTACATGTTCTAATTTGATTATATATATATATATATATATATATATAAACGGAATTTACAAAACGAAACAAATAAACCTTTTAAACTAACAAAAGTCCAAAAACGGATCCACACGGTATTCTTTAGAGCATCTTTGTAGACGAAATATGTACATGAACATAACTCGAAAAATCAAGAAAATAGAGTGTGAGCTCTTTAATTGTAACGATTTTCAAAAGTTGAAGAATCGATTCAGCTTTTATTCTTTGGAGGACTTTTTTTACAAGAGATATAATCATATCGCCATAAAAATTGAAACAATAAATTGGGGTTGAAACTCTTATCAAAAGTCCAACAATCTTATCTAGTCTACCAAGCAACCTCATTGCCTCTTGGACGTCATGATCATGGTGAGTTGTGTATAAGCATGTGTGTTTTAGTGTGTTGTATATATCAACACCATATCTAATAAAATATGGAAGCTGAATTGCTAGGTGTGTTTTCTAGACACTGAATCTATGCCACTAATATATATATATATATATATATATATATATACATATATATAGACTATGGTGTAAGTGGAGGATGGTTGGCATGTCCTTAAAAAGACACTTCTATCACTCACTTCATCTTCATCAAATCTTCATCACATCTTTGTTTGATGAGTTTGATCACACTACAAATAAGATAAAAGAGAAAAAAAAAAGAAAGAAAGAAAGAAAGAAAACCCTAATCAAGAATTCATTCGATTACTGATATGTTTCTTTTTATTAACAGAATACAATCATGTGGAAGAATCAACGAATCTTTGGTTATGTAGTAAAACAAATGCGGTAATATAAAGGAAGTGGACATTAGGGTAACTCTGACCAAGTTTCTATACCGTTATAAAGCATCTTGTTTGCATTATAACTAAATCGAGTTTATAGGACGTCATTAATTTCTAAGCGTCCTGATAGACCGTTTTACATGACTTAATTTTTAGGACCAAAAAATAATTAAAGTGTCATATCTAAGGGTGTTGTAATAAGTTTACACAACTTTTGAATGTCATAACAAGTTTTTTAGGACACTTTTAATACAAAGTATCGCGTTAGCAATTTTATATGACATTTTCTATAAACTCATCTTTTTATAAGACACTTTTTCAAATAGTGTTGTATAAAATTGCTAATAGAACGCTTTGTATTAAATGTGTATTAAAAAACCTGTTAAGACGTCTAAAAGTGTCCTATAAACTTATTACAAAGTATTTACATAAGACGCTTTATTATAATACAATTGTAAAAGATACACATTCGTTGAACCAAAAACTTAATACTCTCATTAAGTACTCTATATTAGAACGTCTAAAAAAACAACTGGACGTCCTAAAAGGCCATTCTACTGTGTGAATCATAGATTTTATATTTTTCATTTTCCTAAAGCAGTCTAACAACTGACTATCTTATGGTATACTGACTCTTACTTAATTCGTTAACTAATATTTTTTTTGCCCAAACTAGACGTCTGTAACATGTTTTAGACAAAATCAAACACTGTTACACAATACTAATTAAACGATTAATTAAAATCAAACATCCTACCATCATTTGTTATACTGGACAAAATCAAACACTGTTACACTTCGACTAATTTGTACGATCATGAATTCAACAGTTAGACAACCTTTTAATGACGCTGAGAGGATTTGAATCAGTAACGTGTAAGAAATAAAACACAACATCTAACGGTATTTCGGAAGTACCCCTCGGGAATTTCACACGTGTATATATTAATGACATAATTCAAGTTAATTAAGAAGGTGCCAAATTAGGGTTCCATATCGAAAGATGATTGGTGTCGACTTGGAAGGAGTAGTGGCTTGTAATGTCATGAGGTCAATGCATACCCAAAACTATGCTTTCTATGATTTGATTGAATAATTAGTTATATTAATCATTGATTAATATATTTTAATTAATAATAATAATAATAAATAAATAAATAATTATGGATTTGAAAGTAACATGACCAAATGACTACGTACGCATAGATTATTGTCAATTTTATTTTCATAATTAGTATTTATTAATTATATAATTAATAGATAAAAATGGCGTAATTTTTCACGAATATTAATAGATATTAAATTTTAAAGCGTTTATTTAAAATCGACGAGTTTATGGATTTTATAGTATCTATCAACGATGTTAGCATGCACACTTCCGAAGGGATCAATAAATACTTTTACGGGTTGTTTGTTTACCTCTTAATAGTTCTATTAAGAGACAATCTCTGAATCGTTAAAAGATAAATTTTGTTTGGCAAACAAAAAGTCCGTCTCTTAATGGTTTCAAAACACACTACAACAGAATCGGGTTTATAGGACACTCTCAAATTCTAAGTGTCCTAATAGACTTCTTTATACGACTTAGTTTATAGGACAAAAAAAAAACAAAGTGTCCTATCTAAAGGTGTTGTAATAAGTTTATATGACGCTTTTGGACGTCTTAACAAGTTTTTTAGGACATTTTTAATACAAAGTGTCGCATTAACAAGTTTATAGGACATTTTTGAGAAAGTGTCCTATAAACTCATTTTTTATAGGACACTTGTTTTTACAGGACAATTTTTCAAATAGTGTCCTATAAAATTGATAATGAGACACTTTATATTAAAAGTGTCCTAAAAAACTTATTACGACGTCAAAAAACGTCATATAAACTTATTACAACACCTTTAGATAAGACACTTTATTTTTTCTGATCATATAAACTAAATCCTATAAAGAAGTCAATTAGGACACTTAGAATTTGAGAGTATCCTATAAACCCGATTTTGTTGTAGTGACCATTCAACGTCCTAATTTTATTGTAAACAGTTATATTTCATTTTGCACTATATCATGAGAGTCTCTTAATCATTCTGATCATTTAATCATTTTGTATCAAACCATTCAGCAACCGTCAAACAGCCTCTTAGAATATATTCATTAATTATCAATTTATTTTGTAAGAATATCAGTAGATATTAACTTTAAAAGGCTTTTTAAGACCAAAATGTTCCAACTTTTCTAAAGAAAAGTTCGGAAATAATTTATATACACCTTTTTTTTTCCTATTTTTTGTTTTTTGGGATGATTATTTTTTTTTTTTTTTTTGATTTGATTAAAGGATTGGTTTCATAAATTTAATTGTTTATTTTGAACTCTTTTTGTCCTATGTGACCATATAATAAGTTGTTTTTATTGTATCGAAATTCAAAGATTTTTCATACGATATTATTTCTTTCATTTAATGTTATTCTTTTTTCTTAACTTTATTGCTTTTTCAAGTCCTTAAATAAATGATTGTGTGATTGTGTTATTATTATTATCATATAAAATTATGTTGACAAAAGCTGAACATTAACTGACTCTAGTTCAGCTACAGCTAATTTAGTATCCCATTTAGCTATTAACTATCTCAGATCAACAAATATTCAAAATCTTAGAATATCGAACGAACAACGAAACTTACGACGCCATAAAGTAGTCCCCACGAAGCTTTCGGGAAGAGGGGGGAACGCTTTGGGGTAAACACGCCATAAACCAATAGTTTAAGATCTAAAAGATTATAAATATATAACGTTGAGTTTGTGTCTTTAAACGTTTAATGTATGAACGTATCCGTTTAGAAGAAGAATAATTTCTCAATCTATATTTACGTTGAAAATGAGGTAGTTAGAGAAGGAGCACAATTTATTTAACGTTTAATGTATGATTGTTTATGTGAATTTTTCATATTTTCCTGAAAAGTCTTTCTTTTAATAATAAACAAGTTCACAATGGTAAACTTACCATAAATCTTGAATATGAGATTCTTTGACTTTTATCATTATGTTATCGGATTTTTAACACATGTTTTCCATGTTTATCGTCAAATACACTGTTGGAGCATCAGATCACCTATACGGGTACCTAAAAAACCTGTATATATGCAGGAATCTCTCATTTGTCTACAGAAAAACCCTTTATAACAAGATTTAAAACGGTTCCAGATAACTTCACACAGATAAACCTACAAAAATATCACTCTGATTGATTAATATCAATAGATTAGTTTAATTTATTGAAATGGAACCTAAATTTTTGTGGTAATGAGGGTTATGATACCTCTAGCTTTTCTGTATCCCCCATCCAACTCCACCCACCCCCAACTTGTGCCTATAAAACCTCACCTCCTCCTACTATAAATAGAAACCCTAGGTACTTCTCCCCTGGAGTACTTGTGTACTTTGATTGCCTACAGAAGCCACAAATGTCCATTTGAAGTACCAACTACTATCTTTGCCAGTCTTCTCAAGTGAAAGTCATTATTTCCCATTGAAATCTTGCCTTCCCCTCAAAGGAAGAGAGAGAAAGTGTGTGTGTGTGTGTGTATGTGTGTCTGTCTAAGCCAATCTTTACCATCAAAAACTACACACTTTCTCTTCGTCTCTCTCCCTCCCAATTGAACCTTTATCACTCTCAACTTTTATCTTGTAAAAGATTCAACAGAAAATGGTGGGTTTTTCTCTCTTATCATCTTTAATTGCGTCTGATCAATCAGAAAACAAAAGGTTGACTTTTTTTCCTCGAAATTTATATATCCCTGATCCAATTTAGGGTTTCTTGATTATGTGATGCAGGAAGTGGAGCAAGATATGGATACATGGGAAGGGTATGTGGATTGGAAGAACAAACCTGCTCAAAAGGGTCGTCATGGTGGCATGCTTGCTGCCTTCTTTGTCTTAGGTAAACCAAAACCAAATCCAAATTAAACCCTTTAATTTCAATTCCCACCAGTTTTTTTGATCAAATCTTGAAGATATCATGTGATCTTTGATCTGGGTTTAAAAAATTTGGAATCTTGATGTGGGTCGATCGTAGTTTCTATCGGTAATTTGAAATAAAGACTGATTTCTTGATTCTCAGTTGTGGAGGTGATGGAGAACTTGGCATATCTGGCAAATGCAAGCAATCTGGTGTTGTACTTGAAAGACCACATGCACTTTTCCCCTTCAAAAGCAGCAAATAATGTCACAGATTTCATGGGAACTGCTTTCCTTCTTGCTCTTCTTGGTGGCTTCTTATCTGATGCTTTCTTCACCACTTACCATATCTACCTCATAAGTGCACTCATTGAGTTTCTGGTACTAATCTCTCCCTTAATTACCTTATTAATTCTCACATCATCATCATCATCATCATCATCATATATATATATATATATATATATATATATATATATGCGCATGTATATATATCCTTAATTAATTGTTCTTCGATCTAATTCTTCGGCAAATTAGACAATAAGTATAAGAATTTTCAGATATTCGTGTTTCAAATTATAACCGATACTACTTAACCTTGTTTCTCACGTACTTACCAAATATATCGTGTTGCATATACGCGATCACACACAATTTTCGATTCATGACCGCTATGGTTGTTTCTTTTTATCTCTAAATAAATAAAACCCTTCGATAACCAAAAGGGTTGATCGGACCTAACACACATCTTCACGTAATAACAAAATCAAGAAATCTTGAAAACCGACTTTTATAGATCTTGTTTGACCAAAAACACTAAATTATTGACAAAGATTCCAAGAAATAGTAATGGGAAAATTTTAAGGAAAACATATTGTCAAGTGGGATGAAGATGGGTTTAGCTTTCAAGCTTTTTATTCACTTTTTATTTATGTCAATATTATGACAAAATTAAATATGGTTGCTTTAATTAAAGAGCATAATTTACATTAATAAGTGTCACTTTTTTTGTAGATGTAACAAATTTAATTATTAGTCCCCTATTCGACAAGTGGGTACATGTGAATCAAATTTGTTGTTGGTTCATTCCCTTGATCCTACGCTAAGTTAGAAATTTGGTACAAACCTTTAATGCACTTGCTACATGTGTTACTACCCACTTTATCAATAAATGTGGGATCTTGATCGAGATCAATCAACATCTATCTCGTGGTCAAATAATGCCCATATATGTATTCAAGTTCTGAGTTCGTTTTTAACGTTAAAATTGACAAAACTTGAGAGAAGTTATGTCAGTGAGGACAAAATACTGTTAGTTCTGTATTCTGGTCAAATTGAGCTTTTATTCAATGAACTCGTTAGCTAATATGTAGACTCGAGGGTAGATGGTATGTAGGTTTTGAAAAGTGTGAGAAGTTGAGATTAGGGTTTGGTTTTTTATGGATTTTTGTAGGTTTGAGAAATCCTGATGAGTTGATTTCTCTCGTTTGTATAACAACAAAAAAAGGAACTGATTTTCTTATTCAAAACGGTTAGAAGATGTGGTATTCGTGTTGTCGATATATAAAATATAGATTTGATATATCATGGTCATGTAGGGTTTCGTTATTTTGATTATGATGTTTTTCAATACTAAAATGCTAGACGATAATTCTGTTATTCACGATAACGTCCTTACAAAACAAGATAAGGTTCTTTCACATTTAACAAATCGAATCAGACATTTAATTCTTCGTGAACCGAATATAATTCGGGTTCATAAAAAAATGATTTCTTTTAACTTTTCCTAATAACAACTTAAATGTTGGCTGAGCATCTTCAACAAATTCTCCAATGGAGAATCAAAAGTCAAAATCTGCAAAGAAAATTAAATTCATCTTCAAGAGCTCCTCCATTTTCTAGATTACAATATGAATTATATTATTAAAATATTTAATATTTCTCATAAAATATTATTTATCTCTCCAATACATTTGATTTCAAATATTCTCATATTTTTTCCATTTTACAGAAGATTTTAAGAAATCTGGAGTCAAAATTCCTAAAAACATCTCCAACAAATTACTATTTTAGAAATTTTGGATATTTAGAAGAAAAATGTTCCAACAACTATGTTAATTCTTGGTTTGAACTTGGCTTTAAAGGTCAAAAGTACCTGGAGGTCCCAGGTTCAAATCCAAGGAAAAATAAAACTCTTCTTGTGGTCACGAAGGTTCAAATACGATGACTCCAGACTATCTACAAAGCAAGTGGTCATCTTGATATTAGTCGGCTCGCATAGCAGGTTGGATATCTAGGTTAATAAAAAAAAATTATATGTAATGTTAGGATCCGTGTGGGGCATATCACGTGCCATTGGGTCCCATTTTTGGTATATAGACGTGTGAGTTCGATCGCATTAATGTTTATGTCTCGTTGATGGATAAGACGATGCAACAACGTGTTGCATCCATTTTGTAACACGTATCATCATATAAAATCCAATATTTATTGTATAACGTTTTTTATTTAATAAACATGTTTGTCGTTTTTTGTGTTTTTCTTATAATTATTTCAAGTTTTATTTACATTTTAAAAAAGTATGCTTGTTTAATTTGGTGTTTGGTTATTTTCAATAGGGACTTGTGATATTAACCATACAAGCTCGTTCCTCGTGGCTAAAACCACCCAAGTGCACCTCATCGGACCCGTCGGTTCCATGCGAAGAGGTCCACGGTGGTCAAGCCGCGATGTTGTTTTTGGGGCTCTATCTGGTGGCGCTAGGTGTCGGAGGTATTAAAGGATCGTTACCGACACATGGCGCTGAACAGTTCGACGAAAACGACGTGAAAGGAAGGAAACAGAGATCGACGTTTTTTAATTACTTCGTGTTTTGCCTTGCCATCGGTGCTTTGATCGCAGTTACTTTTGTTGTTTGGATTGAAGACAATAAAGGATGGGAATGGGGATTCGGTATCTCAATGTTGACGATCTTTTTGTCGATCCCTGTCTTCTTGGCTGGTTCGGGTTTTTATCGTAACAAAGTTCCTCGCGGAAGTCCTCTAACGACTATTTTTAAGGTTATACATACAAACCTATTCATTTGCCTTATTCGCTCGTTACATTACATTTCATTGCAATAAAATCAAAATTTTTAACAAACACGTAGATGAAAATCATAATTTACTCTAAAATCTATCAAGTTATTCAAAAGCGTCATATCAAGTCGATTTTGTTTGTCAGTCGACAAAAGTCATAATACCAGATAAAAAATAAATGTACACAGTAAATCAAAATCAAAAGTAGGGTCTGATGATAAGATATAGACAGACATTTCCTCTATCAGATACAGTATAATTACTGATCTTAACGATCTTGTGTTCGAATGATTTCAGGTTCTAGTTGCATCAATGTTAAACACTTGTATAGCGAGGAGCCCGAGCAATGCCATAGCGAGTATGTCTCCGCCGATCTCCGCTAACCCCGAAGAACGAACGATAACTCCGGCGAAGCAAAACGAAGAACCCGAAACCCCGTCTTCGAGCCTCAAGTTTCTGAACCGAGCTGCGATGAATAAACCCGCCTGCAATTTCCTCCAATGCTCGGTCCACCAAGTCGAAGAGGTCAAAATCGTGCTGAAAGTTCTCCCGATCTTCGGCTGCACCATCATGCTCAACTGCTGCCTAGCCCAGCTCTCCACCTTCTCCGTCCAACAAGCCTCCACCATGAACACGAAGATCGGAAACTTAAAAGTTCCACCGGCGTCCCTACCGATTTTCCCGGTGGTATTCATAATCTTACTCGCACCGATCTACGATCACATCATAGTCCCATTTGCTCGGAAAACCACCAAATCTGAAATGGGGATTTCACACTTGCAACGAATCGGGATCGGACTCCTCCTCTCGATTGTAGCCATGGCTATCGCAGCTCTAGTCGAGATCAAACGCAAACGGATCGCCACAAAAACAGGTCTCGATACACATGAACCGTTACCAATAACTTTCTTGTGGATCGCTTTCCAGTACTTGTTCCTCGGATCGGCAGATTTGTTCACGTTGGCCGGATTACTCGAGTTTTTCTTCACCGAAGCACCGGCAACTATGCGATCTTTGGCCACTTCATTATCGTTCGCCTCTTTGGCGATGGGGTACTATTTGAGCACCGTGATAGTGTCGGTCGTGAACAGCGCCACCGGGAGCTCCGACCACCGGGGATGGCTGTCCGGCGGCAACTTCAACCATTACGATTTGGAGAAATTTTACTGGCTGATGTGCGCATTGAGTGCCCTCAATTTCCTTCACTATTTGTTTTGGGCTCATCGGTACAAGTACAGATCTACAGGGGTTGAAAATTGAAATATGGAAAAGTTGAAGGTGTATAGAAGAAACTTAGCCGAGCTAGGTTCGTACACATGACATACATTCTCAGCTTAGCTTCTGTATATAACAGGGGGGACGAGAGGGGTTTTCTTGTAGTCGTAATTTATAAAATTTCATTTTACACCCTTCATCTTTTCAAATCCTTCATTTATTTTCTCATATTTCGTCTTTTTCACAAAAAGATAAATAAAAGTTAGTTCTTTTTGGGTAACCATGAGTTTTCCGGTCCAACTTACATGAGTTTTCCGGACCAACTTACAGTGCCGGCTAATTCCTCGGACACCCATGAGTTATGTGGAGTCATCGCAGATGAACTTTCATGGTCACAAGAACTTTGATAGTGTTTGTATTCGAACTTGGGGGAGATCTGTCAGCCCAGATTCAAGTCATAAACATGATTAGATCAAGATCAGGAATACTTAGAATGATTCAATTGAGTCAGCAAGTGTACTGATACTCAAAGTAGTTACAGGGTGTTCTTGAGCTCTCAATGATCTCAACTGTTGACAACTTCTAACTACCACAACTAAACAACCACCTGTTTATACCAACAGATTATAAGGAACAAACTACATTACAAAACAATGTAAAACACTTTAAGCACAAGGACTTGAATACAACATTTTTGACTCAATAAGATTAAATTTAGCCGTCAGCAACTACTGGTTATATGTATGGTAGAATATTATTTTCAAGACTTAGGTGTCGTTTACCAAACGATTACTCGGGTAAGCGTTTACCAAGTTACATTACCTTATCGGATGAATATGATAAGGACCAAGAATTTTACTCAGTAAGAGTGAGACAAGGACAAAGAGTCTTACCCGGTAAGTTGAATGCGACGAATCTTACCACGATAAAAGCTTATCGGGTAAATTGTTGCATATAGTGCCATTTTGGTTGACTGAAATCTTACCAGATAAGTTTTTGATAAACGACCCTTTAGTTTCTTCAAAACTTTAGACAAACTCTGGGTAGGTTTGATTTGGTTTGAATATGAACCTTATTATATTAAGTGAATTAAATATAAAATTGCAAAATAAAACAAAAGGGGATGTAGCTCAGATGGTAGAGCGCTCGCTTAGCATGCGAGAGGTACGGGGATCGATACCCCGCATCTCCACTTTTTTATTTCTCTTTTTATAGAGTAAATTTCGGTTTTAGTCCCTATAGTTTGTTAGTAATATCGATTTCGTCTCTATTCTTTAGAAATTACGGTTTTCATCCTTGTGGTTTGGAATTCATTGTTACTAGTTGTTTACCCGTGCAATGCGACGGGAGTCGTGAATTTTAACGATTTTGAAGTTTCACTGGTTTTATTAGAGAAGATTTAACGCTGATATAAGTTACATTTGGTCTTTACATATTAATACAATTTGAATAAATAAAAGTTATGGTTCCAATTACAGTCTATCGATGAAATCCAACATATTTAAACGACTCCACAAATGTGTTCGATTTACACCAAGAGCAAAGAATCAAGAGATCGAAAGCGAGACCGAGAGTTGTAGAGCAATTGAATGAAAGATGAATGAGAAAACTTTTAATAACTCATGGTAAATATCAGTTTGAATCTCACATTAGGGGATGGGGACAAGACATAAAGGTATGAGAGGGTGAAGACATGAGTGAAAGGTGTCAAAAGTATCTTGAGAACATGAAAAGAAAAGATAATAATGTGCATTGGTAGCTTGTATTATATGTTATTTTAATTGTAGATTAAGAGATTTTAAAACTGAATGCAAAAAGTGGTAGTACTTAATGCATTATGAGTTGTTTTTAAGAATTTGTGCATAAATGTATAGTACTTTGTGCATTAAAAATTGTTTTTAAGACTTTTGATAAATCTAGTTTATAAGGTAGTATAGATTTTCGTCTTTGAAAAGGATGAAAACCCGTAATTCCTAACAAGCCATAGGGATGAAAACCGTAATTCCTAACAAGCCATAGGGATGAAAACCATTGATTGAACCATAAAGCAAGCATCGTGTGAAAATAGGAGTTAAGATGAGAATTGTAAAACATAATCTGAACTCTTGATCACTTTTAATTTCTTCCCACCGTATAAATTACGCTTATCATGTAATTGACCCGATGCATCTCAGTGCGCTATATTAGTGTTGATTTTTAATTATGATTGATCTAACGATGTAGATTATTTCTTACATTTTTACCATAACTTTCATTCTCACTGAAAACCAACCCTTAAACCACACATATTATATATATCAACTGTAGTTTTACAACAAGTCTCCAAATCACACTGTTAAGTTTTGGCCTACTGCTACATAATAACATCAATGGAAAGCACCAGAAATAAATTTCCTGAAACCAAAAAAATATATCCGGAAAGCGTTTTCGTGTCACGATTCGGAAGTGCTGGCAAACATCGCAGAACTCCTCACTGCGACTTTCACGGCACCCACGACGCTAAGTTGCCTGATCTCCGGGCTCAGATTCTGGTTTCCGTGGTTTCCACAATTCACATCCGTCTGAACCTCCACAAAGTACGCTATCTGTCAAAAACAGATTTTACGTTAAGGCATCCAACACAATGAATAGTAGTTAAGCAAGTAACGTATGTTTGGAAAACTAGTTGATAAGCTAGCGGTTAGCTGAAATACAGGCTTATAGCCGATAAATTAATCATGTTTATAAAAACTACATTACAATATAAAATAATCTAAAAAGACGTGTCGAAAAAATAATTGTGAAAAAAAACCTCTTCACTTGAAGTGGCTTTTTCAACAGCTAGCTTATAAACCAGTTTACAGTCAAATGGGGTTTTTTTCAATAAGCTTAAAAAATAAGTCAATCTTATGGTTGCCACCTAGGGGTTGTTTGGTTGGTTTTCCAATAAGTCGTGTATGGATAAAGTTGTTTGTGTGGATTAATCTGTGTGTATAGATTGGAAAGCAGCAGCGGATCCAATATTTTTACCCAGTGGGGGTACCTTTAAGATAGATTAAAAGCCTGCGAAGTCGTCCGATGTATTTTTAGTCTAATTCCACCGTTTCGAGAGATCTTTAAAGTTTTTTTGTCGATTTTAGAGGACTTTTTTGGTCTTTGGTTGATTTCGAGGTACTTTTTTGGTTGGTACAGGCAGAAATAAGCCACTTTTTTGGTTACTGAATAAGCCACTTTTCTATATCATTAAGTCACTATCAAACAATCATGTATAGTTGACCGAATAAGCTATGAGCTCATTAAGCTTATTAAGCTGCTAACAAACAAGCCCCTTAGATGGATCTAAAGGGCTCATGTGCGAAGAGATAAAAACCAAAGTAAACCAAATCAAACGAACACAGTATATATAGGGCATCAAATGTAACCCTTTTAAATGTTGCAACCAATGCAACGTCATCTACACCACACAATTATACAATCAACGGTTGGGGATAAGACAGTTGTGGTTGGGGATACGGCGGTTACATATTTAAAAAATTAAAAACAAAAATACTCCTTAAAATGGGGGATGATCTACGGTTGGGATTAAATTTTATTGGGTTGCATTGGTTGCAACATTTGAAAAGGTTGCATTTGATTTGCGCTATATATATATATATATATATATATATATATATATATATATCCCACACAAATATCGGATATTGGGTCATGTGCGAAGACATCATTTTGTAAGGTTGCAAAAGATAACAACGAATGGCTAGTCGATAACTATTTCTTACCTTGCCAGAAGCATTACGTACAGGTGAAACGTGCAAAGAATTCCAAAACGGCCTCCCATTTTTTCTGAAACGATAAGCAATAAACAAGAATTTAACTCCGATAACATGTAATTATACAGAAACGATGTTTATATCAGATGCAAACCTGTAATTTAGGATGCATACAGTGCAGGCTTTTCCAGTTTGAATGCTATTTGTAATCTGCAAAATGAGTATAAATTAACCATCTGATTCATTAAGCACAGAATCCTGCAATTTCTTCATGAATTCAAAAGCCGTAAATTTGACAAGATTGGATTCAAGTTCTAACACCTGTAACTGAGTCGAGCCATCTGTTTCCTGCCCGCTTAAGAATCTGCAATTTCGCCCCAATACTTCATGTCTAGCATATCCTAATAACAAGTATATAAATTCCAAAGAAAGTTTTACACAAGTAAGCAAAAACCGACAAATTGCAGAATAGCCTTATCTTCCCACCAAACTACCGGGATCAAGCAAATGAACGTGTCAAACTTAAAATTGGATCGAAAAACTCAAGAAGTTAACATAAAGATGATAAATGCAGTCAAAACACATTGACAGCAATCTTGTAACTTCAAGAAAGATGGAAATTCTTGCAAAAGTTGGAAACTTTTTTACTACTAGCAAGTTTAGGGGTTGTTTGTTTACCTCTTGATAGTTTTATTAAGAGGCATCATCTGAATCATTAAGAGGTGAATCTTGTTTGGCAGAAACAAAGTCTGCCTCTTAATGATTCTAAAACTCTTTGAATGATTTTATATCATGCATCTCCTTTAACCATTCAGCGCCCTAATTTCATTGTAGACAATTAGTAAACAATTATATTTCATTTTGCACTATATCATGAGAGCTTCTTAATCATTCTCCACCAAACCATTCAGCAATTGCCAAACAACCCCTTAGAAACAATTAAAATATGTTGACAACAAAATCCATACCACTTTGAATGTCAAAGAGTATTGGGTTTGACATCAAGGGAGGACTAGGTTATGTTTGGCTGATAACCTAGTTGTTTTAGCTGAAAAGTTGGTTGTTGGTTGAAAAGCTAGTTGTTGGCTTAAAGGTAGGATATAAAGCTAGTTGTTGGCTGAAAAGCTAGTTGTTAGACGAAAATGTAATCAGGAGCAGACTAGGGCTATGTTTGGCAAAGTAGCTGATAACCTAGTTGTTTTAGCTGAAAATCTAGCGGTTGGCTGAAAAGCAAGTTGTTGGCCGAAAAGCTAGTTGTTAGCTGAAAATGTAATCAATAGCAGACTAGGGCTATGTTTGGCAAACTAGTTAATAACCGAGGTTGTTTTAGCTGAAAAGCTAGTCGTTGGTTGAAAAGATAGTTTTTGGCTAAAAGGTAGGATAAAAAGCTAGTTGTTGGCTAAAATGGGAGGATAAAAAGCTAGATGTTTGCTGAAAAGTTAGTTGCTAGCTGAAAAGCTAGTTGTTAGCTGAAATGGTAATCAAGAGCAGACTAGGGCTATGTTTGGCAAACTAGCTGATAACCTAGTTGTTTTAGTTGAAAAGTTACCCGTTGGTTGAAAAGCTAATTGTTGGCTAAAAGGTAGGATAAAAAGCTAGTTGTTGGCTGAAAAGCTAGTTGTTGGCTTATAAGCTAGCTTTATTTGTAAATTGTAAAGCTAGTTGTTGGCTAATAAGCTAGCTTTATCTGTCAGCTGAAAAGCTAGTTGTTAGCTGATAAACTAAGTATGTTTAACATGCATCTTTTCTTGGTTGAATCACGTACCAGTCAAGTCTAGGAAGGCATCGCTGGCATACACAATTGGGATGTCGATTTTATGTGGATCCGTCCTACAAGGCAACAACGTTTTGCGGCCACAAACAAAATGCACAGGTGTCAGAAACATTTGTATGTGTTAGATGTGCAAAACAAAAAAAAAATCTAGAAAATTGAAACAACTCACAAGACAAAGCTTTGTCTTATTCTACCAAGAGATGTGTTTAACGATGCACCAACATGGCTCATGTTACTTGAGCAGCATCTTCTATCGGAAACCAGTCTACCCGTTAATTCACTGTAGTGTGTCAGCATGGAAAGTATATTGCTCATAGCAGTGTTGGCTCGTCGTTTTTCCAAATCACTCGCCTTGCAAGTGCCGTTAGTTACTTCTGTACGACATAAACCCGTGTTTCAAAAAGAACCATATTTACAAGATTCAAGTAACAAGATTGTTACCATATAAGGGGATGTTTGGTTGGTTTTCCATTAAAATCTGTATGGTTAAAGTCACAAGTGTGGATAATCTGTCCGTATAGATTGAGAATTTTTTTGTTTGGGAGAGTTTTTTTATAGATGGAAGGAGTTGTTTTTTAATTGGGAGGGACATGTTTGGAAAAAACTTGGCTTTCTCCATAAAGCTCCCCCCAGAAGCTTACTGAATAAGCCACTTTCTATATCGTTAAGCCACTACCAAACAGTCACATACAGCTCAGCGAATAAGTTGCAAGCCCATTAAGTTCGTTAAGCACTTAAGCTGCTTAAGAAGCACCAAGAAACATATGCAAATCGACTTTACAACACACAATTGTTTTGTCATATATAGGAACATTTAGAGCCTATTTGTTAGCTGCTTAGTGAGCTTAATGGGATTCACAATTTATTTGGTCAGCTACACATGACTTTTTTAAACTTAATGATATAAAAAGTGGTTTATTCAGGAAGATTCTAAGGGGAGCTTTATGAAGAAAACCAATTTTTTATCCAAAACTGCTCCTCCTAGTTAAAAAAACACGCTCCTTCCATCCATGAAAAAATCTCCCAAACAAAGACTTTCTCAATCTCTACAGACAGATTAATCAACACAGACAATTTTATCCATACAGGACTTAATGGAAAACCAAGCAAACATCCCCTTGGACATATTTGACATCCTGTAAAGTCGATACTGTTATAGTGACTTCAATAGGAAACAATAACGTTTAATAGAAAAGAAAAACTTGTAATGCGAACATTTATGCCGATCGGTTCATGATCAATGCAACCAAATGTGATTTAAGCTACTAGAAGTTCAAATGTTACCAAAGGGCCTTTGGCCTAGCGGTATGGTAGCCCTTGGCCTTCTAGGAGGTCAGGGGTTCAAACCTCACCATAGGTGAGGAGGGTGTGTGAGTTTATTTGTTGCATTTGCCGTATATATTATATACTTCAAAAAAAAAGTTTCAAATGTTCAATGTAAAGATTAATAACAACTCTTAAAACATTAGCAATCAATATCAATAACCATAAGAACAATAAAATTCACTCATCAAATAACAGTTCATATAATTTGCAGACTTAGAAGCCAAACCTGTATCATCTGTTAAAACCGAATCCAAATTCGAACTCCGACCCAACTCCGCAACCGTATCAGAACACACCTCCCTCCTACAAAACCCAAGAACCGAATCTCGAAAACCCGCCCCATTTTCACAAAAATTCGCTTCAATTCTCGAAAACTCGCTCCCGGATCGTCTAGGTTTCGGCACAATCGGGACTTGAATACCAACAAAATGGATCACTCTTCCATCTTCCTTGCTGAAAACAGGAAACATATGAAACAAAATCCAAAAGGGTGTTCCATTTTTTCGATAATTCAATAAACTGACTTGTAAACTCCTCTCTTCTCTAATGGCTTCTCTAATCTCCATTACTGATCTTCTATTTGTCCTAATCCCTTGAAACATCCTCCCATTCTTCCCAATAACTTCTTCTCTTGAATACCCAGACATTTTCAAGAACTCCCTCGAAGCAAACACAATCGGGTGACCCGAAATAGACGGGTCGGTTATGGTGAAACTATGGGGCAATTCATCAAGAGCTTCTCTGACCCAAGACGAGTACCTAGAAGTAATAGATTGTTCGATAGCAATACCCATTGGTTGTTGCTCCATAAGGATTCAACTTTTTCTTGATTTCTAAATTCAATTTCGCTTAATACAAAGATTAATCCCAATCCCATGTGGTAAAGTTGGAGAATTTTTGGGCTTTTTCAGCTTTCAATAAGATTAAAACCCCAAATCAAACAAGATGACACAACCTTTATAACAACATAACAATCGAATACCTAAAAAACCCCATTTGTGACGAACTCATGTGATGAAGTTGAAGAATCTTTGCTATCGGATTTCAAGAAAATCAAAACCCCAGAATGGAAAACAGCTAAAACTAGAGGTTTTTGTAGCATAAAGATTGAAAGATTCGATAAACCCTTGAAATAGTGGAGTGTTTATGAAGTCGTGTGGTTGTAGAATGAAGTTGAGTGGAGAAGGAACCTTGATTTTCTTGAAAATATCTGAAGAAAATTACTGGTTTTGAATAAGTTGTGAGGCTGAAGAGATACCCATGAGATGGATGAAGCGTGGAATTGGGAATCAATGGGAAGTTTGTGGAAAGACGGAGATTGGGGGAGGTCAGAACGAAGGGGAATCACAATAAAAGAAAATATAAAATGAAAATCAAGAAAAATGAATTTCTGAAAAGATTAGGATGAATCAAATAGGGGTTATGGTTTATGAAATTGTAAGATTGTGGGCCCACATCATGTTATCCAACCACGTCAGATTGTTTTTGATTATGAAATCAATATGATTATGTTATAATTAATTTTAAATATTTATTTCAATTTAATATATAATTGTTAAAATATCTGTTATTATTACAAAAACAAGAAGATGGTTAGAGCTTCTCTGCTTAGTTTTTTTTTTATTAAAATATAGTTTGGTGTAAAATGATCAAGTAGTCAGAATAATTAAGAGGCTTTCATGAAAAATTCTTTGATTGGTTCTTTCCAAAGGAATTATCTATTTTATTTGACTGATGGGGCCAACAAACAATATAAAATGATATATAATTGTTTGATAATTGTGTACAATGAAATTATGACTCTTAATGATTAAGGGAGATCCACGATACAAAATCATTCAGAGGGTTTTAGAACCATTAAGAGACAGACTTTTTTTTTGCCAAACAAGATTCACCTCTTAACGATTCAGATGTTGTCTTTTAATATAACTATTAAAAAGTAAACAAACAACCTTTAAGTTATGTATTTATAAAGTTAATCTACGTGTATAAATTGAGAAGGTTTTTATTTGAAAGTGTTTTTTCATATATGAAAATAGTTTGTTCTTCAATTGGTATAGACAGGTTTGGAAAAAACTTGGTTTTCTGCGTAAAGTTGCCCCCTTGGACGCTTATTGAATAAGTTATTTTTCTATATCATTAAGTCGTTACCAGACAATCCATATATAACTGAGGGAATAACTTCTGGGTCTTGTTAAGCTTGTTAATCTGTTAACAAATAGACCCTGATATTCATATAATTGTTTGAATTGATTTTTCAAATGTAGTTTAAAGTTAAAGCATATTTTTAAAATGAAAATTAATTATGATTTTTTTCATTATAATCTGAACAACTAGGGACTTATTTTTTCTGAAAATATCTGTTTTTTTAGCGTCTAGAAGGATATTATTTTATAACGTATGATAGTTACATTAATATCAATGAGGACAACCCCTTTGTTTTATTTTTGTATATTGCTATTGCATATATGTTTGCATTTTGAACAGTTATACCAACCCTTTACGTCTCTCATTTTATAACAGTTATACCAATTACATGTATGGTTTTCTGTAATAGTACATGCAGTCTTAGTTCGATAAAGAATATATCTGCTACATATTTTCTACGTATATTTACGAATTCCTATCAATCATAATCAATAAACATAGCAGCATTTTGTCATGAAAATTTACCGACAAGATCCTAAAACTCATAACAACTCAAATACTGGTGATGTAATACCATACGACATCCATATCCATCAAACGGCATCATGAATAATGGTCCCGTTAACCTATTGACAAGTGGGATATAAAATATCCGCTTAAACTTTTTATTTGGACTGTAGAGCGTATAGACACATAAAACCATGCCAACGTGAGAAATGCTAAAATTGCTAAGTAGATCTTATAGCTTACGTGTCAGAGTCCCACCAGAACTCGCCCCCTATAAATGGGTTGCAATTACACTTTGATCAACCACCGAGTAAACATCTTGAAATGGGTAATTTAATATAACTTATACCTCTAATAATGTGTCCAGAATGAACCATCAGAAAAGATTATTAGAATAGCCTATTTGTTGACGATAACAAAAAATGTGGATGGTTGTTTGTTTCCATTAGTACAGCTTAAAATAGAAATACATGAATTGATAGGAGTCATTATCTGACATTTAAGCACGTTTACCTGTTGGTTTTATAGAATTCGTATGTCTGCCTTAAAAAAGATGTATACAGACTCATTCCTGATATTGTATAGGCCTAGACGAGATGTAAAAAGGGTCATCGATAAGCACAATATTTTCTTCAATATATGTTTTTTTTATCATCGAATATAACATAATCGTTTTTTCCGAGTTATCCTAGATACAAAATCAATCAACAACTATTTGAAATTTAATATTATATATCATATTATTTTTACATAACATTGTTATTTCATTCCATGTCAAAACATCATATGATACACTTTTAGTATATAGATTGACATCATTGTGGGTCACAATGTCGATCATTCGAAAAACACTCTCAATATAAATCAGTTGGGTTTCCATGTAAACTCGTGTTAATGTTTTCCATCACCATATTAAACTTTTAGGGTTAAAACAAACTTTTTTCATAATCAAAAGTTAATCTTGAAATGAAAATCATGTGTTGATCATAGTTTGAGATCTTATTCTTGTTTTAGATATCAGAGAGCTTATAGGACTCACATACTCAATATTAGGTAATAAGAAGTCAATAATGTATTAAAAAGCAAGAGTAGTTTTGAAATCCTAAATATAGAAATAAGTTAGACTGTCTCATATGGTTGGTTAACTTTTTTTTCAAATGGAAAGAATTTTTTTTAGCTAATAACAATAAATCTACTATATTTTAATATAAGATGAACGGCCAATTAATTTTCCACATATTTTATTATCTAATGTAATTAATTAATACATGTTTAGGCAATTAAAATAATATTAAATTGTGTCTATTTTATTTACTATATATTCTAAAAAATTAGGCTCGTATTACTTGTGGGACCTGAGCATTTAGGGTTCAGGGACGACACTCAATGTATGGGTGAGCAGCGGAACCGGGTACCCGTTTGCGGAACCGGAACCGCCGGTTCCGGAACCTGAACCGATATGAGTGGTTCCGGTTCCTAAAATACGGAACCGATTGAGTGTACCAGTTCCGGGACCGGGTACCCAGTGTTTTTCAATAAAAAAATAATTAATTTTTTTTAATACCAAATGTATATTATGTTGCATCTTCAAAGGACGTGGTCATCTTTATTCTTCATCAGCTTTCGAGTTCTACTAAACTACACTTCATAGTATGTAATCGTTAAGTTTTGAACATTTACAATTATAGTATGTAATCGTTAAACTTTGAACATTTTCTATTAGTCTATTATGATTTATAATCGTTAAACAATATTTGTAACCATTATTCCGTATAATTTGTATTCTTGTTTGTTTAATTTAGTGTTTTGGCATTGTTTTATTTTTTATTTCTAAATAACAAAATTTTAATATTTTAGGGGTTCCGGTTCCGGTTTCGGTTCCAAAAATTCAAGAACCGCTCTAACTGGTTCCGGTTCTAATATCTCAAGAACCGCCGGTTCCGGTTCCTGTCAAAAAGGGTGGGTACCCGCCTATGCTCACCCCTAACTCAATGTACATGTATAGTAATAAATTATAAACTTGAATTTTAAGAAATTTTAAAACATAAGATACTTGTATAATGTAATACGAAATCTTGATTTATATACTGGATTGTATGTCCAATATCGAATATATAAAAGTTTTCACAAATTATTCGGTAAAGGGAAAAGTTTTAAAAAATCCAATGAACTATTCAATTTTGAATGATTAAGTCGCAAAACTATTTTTTGAACGGAAAAAAATAATTACTTTTTTTCATTTTGATTGATTAAGTCCCTGAATTATATTTTTGAATAAGAAAACCAGTAAACTTTCTTATTTTGAATGATTAAGTTCATAAACATTTTTTTGAATAAATAAACCATCAAACTTTTAAAAATTGGTCACCTGTATTTTTGTAACAAAAAAAACTACATGTAACCGAATAAGAAGATTGTAAAGTATAAAAAACTAAATCAATTTAATATTCTTATACGTCATTAAAACCCCTCACAAACAACGATATCGCTCTACCCACCACTCCTCGTTACCCCACCGTTACCTTTTTCTCCATATCGTCTATCACATTGTTGGTCTCTGCCATTGATCATTCAATCTCCCTTTTCTTTCATCTTTTTTTTATCTGTGGTTAGTTTATTGAAAAAACCTTCCTGATCAATTATAAGTAGAATTTTTTGGGTTAAAAGGATGCAAGTAATCAATTTTTATAAATTTGATGGTTTAATTTATTGAAAAAAAATGTTCAGAGACTTAATCATTCAAAATAAGAAAGTTTAATGATTTTTTAATTCAAAAAATTAGTTCAGAAACTTAATCATTCAAAATAGAGAGTTTAATGGGTTTTTTCATTCAAAAAAATAGTCGAAAGACTTAATCATTCAAAACAAGATAGTTTGTTGGGTTTTTTTGAACGTTTCCCTTTGGTACAAGGTATTTTCAAGTGGGGTTTTCGTAACCACCTATCACAATATAAATTGATGAGTGAAATTTTTAATACAAATGGCTAATATTAAAAAAAAATGATGTGATACCATGTGGGTTGTGACGTATTTGTTAAGCCTTAGGGGTATGTAATGGAAAATTTCATCTACCTCGAGTTCGATACCAGGCGTTGCCAAACCTTACGGCCATAGAAGTTCACCTACGATGACTCAAGATCATTCGTGATCAGCTAAGAGTAAGTTATCCCGAAAACCCATAATTACCAAAAAAGAAAAAAACAAGAAGAAAAATGATGTGATATTCAGGGGTGTTTGGGATTGCTTATTTGAAACAACATATGTTTTTCTGTAAAAGTTATTATCAACTTATTATAAGTAAGAATGATTTAACTTCTTCAATAACTTCTTATTACCGGTTTGGCACCGGTATAAATTGTTTATCCAAATACTCAAAAGTACTTATTATCGATGTCACACCAAAATAAATCAATAAATTATTTTTATAAACAATCTCAAACACCCTTTGTTATAAAACTCAATCGTCTAAATTTAAAAATTGTTCAAGAAAAAGGGTCAAAGTTGGTTTATTTTTCTGTGGGCATAAGAAGTCCTTATTTATACGCAACCACATAAATTATTTATTTGTTTAGAACAATTTAATTTTATTAAATATAAATAATTTATTAAGTAGGCTACAAATTTGGTGTATGTTTTTTTTTATAGT